GACCCGTCCTCATATGACCCTGGCTGTTGTGATCCCCTAGGCACCCGTCCTCATATGACTCTGGCTGTTGTGATCCCCTAGCTAGACCCGTCCTCATATGACCCTGGCTGTTGTGATCCCCTAGGCACCCGTCCTCATATGACTCTGGCTGTTGTGATCCCCTAGCTGGACCCGTCCTCAAATGACCCTGGCTGTTGTGATCCCCTAGGCACCCGTCCTCATATGACCCTGGCTGTTGTGTCTCCCTAAGCACCCGTCCTCGTATGGTCGGGGCTGTTGTGACTCCCTAGGCACCCGTCCTCATATGACCCTGACTGGTGTGTCTCCCTATAGGTATCCGTCCTCATATTACCCTGGCTGTTGTGTCTCCCTAGGAACCCGTTCTTATATGATCATGGATGTTGTGTATCACTAGGTTCCCGTCCTCATATGATCGGGGCTGTTGTGACTCCCTAGGCACCCGTCATCGTATGACCCTGACTGGTGTGTCTCCCTAGGCACCCGTCCTCATATGACCACGACTGTTGTGTCTCCCTAGGTATCCGTCATCATATGACCACGACTGTTGTGTCTCCCTAGGTCTCCGTCCTAATATGGCAGGGGCTGTTGTGTCTCCCTACATTGTAGGTCCCCGTCCTAATATGACGGGGGCTGTTGTGTCTCCCCAGGTATACGTTCTCTTTTGACCGGGGCTGTTGTGTCTCCCCAGGTATACGTTCTCTTTTCAACGGGGCTGTTGTGTCTCCCCAGGTATACGTTCTCTTTTGACCGGGGATATCTACTCTTTCCTTAAAATGCTGTGGAGCGATATACTAAAACTGGAATTTTTTTTTCATTTTTGATCTGATTTCTTGATTCGACATTGTTAAACAAATGAAAAGTGTGAAAATCTTAAATGTGTTGATATTTATGCCAAATGTGCAAATCAGTCGTATCAGTTTACATAGACAGTTTGATGACATTATAAGACTGCACGGGTATCGTTTTCAGCATCAGTTTACATAGACAGTTTGATGACATTATAAGACTTCACGGGTATCGTGTTCAGCATCAGTTAACATAGACAGTTTGATGACATTATAAGACCTCACGGGCATCGTGTTCAGCATCAGTTTACATAGACAGTTTGATGACATTATAAGACTTCACGGGTATCGTGTTCAGCATCAGTTTACATAGACAGTTTGATGACATTATAAGACTTCACGGGTATCGTGTTCAGCATCAGTTTACATAGACAGTTTGATGACATTATAAGACTTCACGGGTATCGTGTTCAGCATCAGTTTACATAGACAGTTTGATGACATTATAAGACTTCACGGGTATCGTGTTCAGCATCAGTTTACATAGACAGTTTGATGACATTATAAGACTTCACGGGTATCGTGTTCAGCATCAGTTTACATAGACAGTTTGATGACATTATAAGACTTCACGGGTATCGTGTTCAGCATCAGTTTACATAGACAGTTTGATGACATTATAAGACTTCACGGGTATCGTGTTCAGCATCAGTTTACATAGACAGTTTGATGACATTATAAGACTTCACGGGTATCGTGTTCAGCATCAGTTTACATAGACAGTTTGATGACATTATAAGACTTCACGGGTATCGTGTTCAGCATCAGTTTACATAGACAGTTTGATGACATTATAAGACTTCACGGGTATCGTGTTCAGCATCAGTTTACATAGACAGTTTGATGACATTATAAGACTTCACGGGTATCGTGTTCAGCATCAGTTTACATAGACAGTTTGATTACATTATAAGACTTCACGGGCATCGTGTACAGCATCAGTTTACATAGACAGTTTGATGACATTATAAGACTTCACGGGTATCGTGTTCAGCATCAGTTAACATAGACAGTTTGATGACATTATAAGACTTCACGGGTATCGTGTTCAGCATCAGTTTACATAGACAGTTTGATGACATTATAAGACTTCACGGGTATCGTGTTCAGCATCAGTTTACATAGACAGTTTGATGACATTATAAGACTTCACGGGTATCGTGTTCAGCATCAGTTTACATAGACAGTTTGATGACATTATAAGACTTCACGGGTATCGTGTTCAGCATCAGTTTACATAGACAGTTTGATGACATTATAAGACTTCACGGGTATCGTGTTCAGCATCAGTTTACATAGACAGTTTGATGACATTATAAGACTTCACGGGTATCGTGTTCAGCATCAGTTTACATAGACAGTTTGATGACATTATAAGACTTCACGGGTATCGTGTTCAGCATCAGTTTACATAGACAGTTTGATGACATTATAAGACTTCACGGGTATCGTGTTCAGCATCAGTTTACATAGACAGTTTGATGACATTATAAGACTTCACGGGTATCGTGTTCAGCATCAGTTTACATAGACAGTTTGATGACATTATAAGACTTCACGGGTATCGTGTTCAGCATCAGTTTACATAGACAGTTTGATGACATTATAAGACTTCACGGGTATCGTGTTCAGCATCAGTTTACATAGACAGTTTGATGACATTATAAGACTTCACGGGTATCGTGTTCAGCATCAGTTTACATAGACAGTTTGATGACATTATAAGACTTCACGGGTATCGTGTTCAGCATCAGTTTACATAGACAGTTTGATGACATTATAAGACTTCACGGGTATCGTGTTCAGCATCAGTTTACATAGACAGTTTGATGACATTATAAGACTTCACGGGTATCGTGTTCAGCATCAGTTTACATAGACAGTTTGATGACATTATAAGACTTCACGGGTATCGTGTTCAGCATCAGTTTACATAGACAGTTTGATGACATTATAAGACTTCACGGGTATCGTGTTCAGCATCAGTTTACATAGACAGTTTGATGACATTATAAGACTTCACGGGTATCGTGTTCAGCATCAGTTTACATAGACAGTTTGATGACATTATAAGACTTCACGGGTATCGTGTTCAGCATCAGTTTACATAGACAGTTTGATGACATTATAAGACTTCACGGGTATCGTGTTCAGCATCAGTTTACATAGACAGTTTGATGACATTATAAGACTTCACGGGTATCGTGTTCAGCATCAGTTTACATAGACAGTTTGATGACATTATAAGACTTCACGGGTATCGTGTTCAGCATCAGTTTACATAGACAGTTTGATGACATTATAAGACTTCACGGGTATCGTGTTCAGCATCAGTTAACATAGACAGTTTGATGACATTATAAGACTTCACGGGCATCGTGTTCAGCATCAGTTTACATGTACATAGACAGTTTGGTGTTAAAACAACCATCAGCTCAATTAAGATAAGTATGATGTAGCAATAACACAGAGTAAATCAATTTGAAGCAACTTTTATTTAAGTAATCGCATGAATAAAGACAATAAGCACGCTCCTGTTTTCCATTTTAACGAAGCTGCAAGCACTTCAGTTTTCATTCCATTTTAAAACTTCAGAATACTTGTGACGGATTCATCACAGCGGCATATCATATTAGTTGGGGCAGTGGCAGTGGGCTGTATAGACAGTTCACATCCCTCCTCCTCAGTACAGTCGGCTGCCGTGTTGTTATTTTCATTACAGTTATGGCAGTGTCCACGCGCAAGTGACCTGCCAATGAGCCACCCTACACCACAGCCAATTATAGCGGGAACTGTAAATAAAACAACAGACAGTATAGCTATAAAGATTATCGTTATAACATTTATTGTTATGTTTACTGTAACAATGAATAATTCAACGAAACGTTCAGCGTATTATTGATTTTTTACAGATTAGTGCATTAATTAATTGGAGCACTTACAAAATGTCCAATAGAAAACTGTATACAGAAATGAATAAAGCGTAGATCAGTCCAATGTTTAAAGGACGAACACCGCTAAAATAAGAATACCGCTAAAATGTGAACGTTTCCAGTATTATGTGCGGTCTATGCTTTCGTATGAGAATCTGTTAATTATAATTATCAAGAAAGGATGAAAAAAAGTCTGCAAGGCTGTCGATTTTAACACCAAACTTTCGTGTATAGGGAGCAAGACTTGACAGAGAAGGCAGTACGGCAGGTACCGTTATTTAGGAGTTTGATTTGAGGTTTTTTGGGGGGTTGCAATGGTGTAAGCAAGCCTTTTTCTGTTCGTTTACATCCCCTTTGCAATGGACATAGAAGAAAAACACCAATTTTGCGGAGGACATATTAGTGACCTTTTGCAATAATATGGGGATACAACAGGATAGAACACGTAAACGACACTTCTATAGCTATATATTCCGACAATCACCCTGTCCTTCTGCGACACAAGGGAACGCTATTTTTTTCCGGGGTTCACCTTGATATTTGTTATCACATAATAGTATACATCATTAGCTGTCACCAGGTCGTTAATCCCCAACAAATATCAATGATGAAATCTTATTTGGTCGTTCTGGTACAAGTCCAATGTCCTCTGACATCGATTTAGTGTGTCTTGTTTGTCCACTGGACGTGATATGATTGCTTACGATTTAGGAAACAACTTCTTTCGATCAAAGAAGCCAATGCAAATCTTGGAAAAGAATAGCTAGGTACTGTCTTATACAGGGCACACCCTAACAAATATGTCAACACTGCCCGTCCCCTAAACCTGGGTAATGTCTGATACAGAGCCCTTCACAATGATATCAACAGTGTCAGTTTCCACTCTGATACCCATGCCAGGTAATGTCTGATACAGAGCACACCTACACAATGATATCAACACTACACCCGGGAGACAATAAACTATTATACATCTATCAAACTATTTATCACGTACCTATTGAATCTTGTTATAGTAATACAAGCAATTTTCAGACCATGAAATTCAACGTTCTGTATTACAAATGTGCAATACGGAATGTTGTATTTACCTATTCGCCGGAACTACTTTTTTATGGGAATCCCCTTGTCATGGCGAACTGAAAAGTTCCCGGTATTTGCAAAAATATCAAAGTTTATAAAATCTTTGTATCGATCTCTACCAAATACGGAAGGTATGTGATAAAAGCAAGACCACACACTTGTGTTTTTCTAACGAATCAGAAAGCACGCGCAATAAATGAGTGCACAATTTTTGACATGATTTTTGTTCAAGACAACCTTCAGCCATGGTTATATTTTTGTTTATTCTGTTGTTTGGCCTATTTCTACTTCTACTTCCTAAAACATGGATCCCTCCATAGACTGTATCAGATAATTAAGTGATTTTGTGGAGATCATATTTACTGCCTTACTGCAATATTAGGACTAGTTAACCACATTTCTCTCTGACAATTACCCCCAGTGCAGGTTCTGTTGACTCGACAGACCTACAGTATCCCACCGCATGTCGTAATAGGCGACATTTGTGAGGCAGGTATAACAATAAATACAAAAATAACTTGTTGATAATAGAATGTCTAATTAATATGACATGATATAGCAGGACACACTATATTTATTGTTTTTATCACCTATTCAGTCACATTTCTTAAGTAACTAAGTTGTCCATTTTACAAGATTCATGAGAAGCTGTAAAGCGACCACATCATCGCTTTGGGAATTAACTACCTGTTTTTGAATTTTTCCCTTCGGCTATAATACTATAAAATGTTCAAGATACAGAACAGCAGTAGTAAATCACACTTACCGATCTGCTGTATCTGTGATTGTGGGGAACGGAACCGGCGATAATTGAAACCTTGACCAGAAACCAGGCACTGTGATGCGAGGAGACTGAGGATTATGCCCACATAAATTGTTGATTTTGACGGCTTCTGTAACAAAGAAACAGACATAGCAGTAAGTATTGAAGTATTCAAGTTTTTCTTTCTCTGTGTTGATTCTATTCTTCCTGTAATTCTTCTCCCATTCTTTTCTTTCTTCAAAACAGTACATGTACATAACACAATTATATGCAGCTACACTATTAACGGCATAGAACATATGTATCTTTAATCTAATGTTGATTTCTTGCTAATGACTAGAAACGGAATGAGTTTGTGTATGTGTATGGAAAAAATGTATTATGTACTGTTGAAAAATCTTTAAAAAAAAAAAAAAAAAAAAAAAAAGGTATTGAATGAGAGGCATCGGTTTGTAAACATAACGTAACACTTACGTAATACGAAGGTAAACAGCCGACAAAAAAGAGAAGCATAAAAAAGTCAAACTTCAGTTTGAATTATTGCACAGATGAGGCAACTTGGAACACGTGAATATACATTCTCAATGAAATGTTACAAATTGAAAAAGTTAGCACGACCGATTCTAGTTATACTGACAAACAGCTAACTATTTCTACCGACACCCAATGCAAACTGAACTTAAATCAACATTTATTAACTACCACTTTTTAATTTCAGTAACAGTTTACAATACCTTCCTTACGTATCCATAGAATGCTGATTATAGCGAAAGCAGTAAATAATAAAATACAACATGAACATATTTAAAAGACAGAAACAATCACTAGAAATAGTTCAGGGTGTGCTAGGGCTCATCTGAGTACAGTAACAATCACCAGAAATAGCTCAGGGTGGGCTAGGGCTCATCTGAGTACAGTAACAATCACCAGAAATAGTTCAGGGTGGGCTAGGGCTCATCTGAGTACCCTTTACACTTAAGCATGGTATATCAAATATCCATACAAATTACAACCGTCGGGTGTCGACATCACAAAAAGAAGCAAATCTACTCATAAAAAATGAAATACACATAATTCGAAAACAGCCAAACTTAAAGTGCAACTTCCCGACCTTTCATCAAAACTTTTTCACGTTCTTTGTTCTATTGTAAAGAAATGCAGTAAAGATATATCGTAAAGATATATGGTAAAGATAAAGATATATAGTAAAGATATATAGTAAAGATATATAGTAAAGACATATCGTAAAAATATATAGTAAAGATATATAGTACAGATATATAGTACAGATATATAGTAAAGAGAATGGAAACAAAACAAACTTGTCCTTGTCTGTGATGATATCAACTAAGCAGCATGTGACACATAGAAGCATGGTTATTTGAAACCAAATAATTTCGTAGAAGTTGGATATCATTAACTGAACGTTTTGAACTTTTAAGCGCTTTTTATAGTCTCGTACTAGAATAAAAAAAGATATTTCATTGAACAATTTGAAGCTATATATCTATGTGTATATGTGAGTAAATTATTTGTGGGGCAATTGGTGATACACAGACTTACCATGATTTGAAGTTAAGGATACCTGCGTATCTGTTCTGGTCGTTTGAACAGTACTGAAACCGTCTGAGGTATGACGCTGTAGTGTCACGTTGGGTTTTATACGAAACCTACAACCCCGCGGGTGCTTATGACTGACAGCTGATCTATAACGCGCGCCAGGGTAGGATTGGAGTGTGGGATCGGTCTAGGCACATCTACGTGGTTCTCAAATACGTCTGTACAGTATAACATTATACAAATACAGATAAAGGTTTACACAATTTCATTAGAATGTAACTGGGTTAGTTGGAAAGTGTTTTACATTTGATTTTGCGATAAATAATTGGTTCAATTTATCTTTAATAACACGTATAATTTACAATAAACACGGTTCATGAATACAATAATTGGATTTAATATGCATAAGGGTGGCGTTCGAATTCTGGTGTGTTTGAATGTATCAGTACTATTGTCAGGTTTTGGTGTGTATCAGTACTATTG